TATACCAATCACTACCATTGTTACATTATTTATAATTACATTTTTATGTTTGTGTTTTGTGAGCATCCTGAAAATGGGGACTAGGTCTTATTCATATTTATCTTCTCAGTGCCCAACATGTAATAGATATTCAATAAGCTATAACAATGTCCATGTGCAAAGTACTAATGATTACACGTTATGTCAAGAAAACTACAAAAAAGATTCTTGAACTGGGCCTTGAATAAGAAGTAGGCGCCCACTCAGCTGAAATGGAGCACAGGGCATCCTAGGTGGAAGGAACAGCATGTAGACAGGCCCAGAAGAGGGAAGACATGTCGATTTCAGGAGATGACAAGGAAGCCCAGTGTGGCAATGGTGGTGGGAAAGGGTGGCCAGGGAGGCCACAGGTAAGGTAGAGGAAGCCAGCTGGAAGTTGTAAATAGCCATTCATACCACACAAAAGGGTTAGAACTTCATCTTGAGGGCAGAGAGGAGTCATGGATGGGCATTAAGCAGGAGAGTAACATGATTAGAACTACATTTTAGAAAGATCTCTCTGGGGATTGCTTCTTAGCCTTTTGGCTAAGATCAAGTGTAGAAAGATCTCTGTGGGGTAGCAGAAGTCAGCTCAAACTTCACCTGCATTAGAATCACCTGGGAGATTCATGGAGCCTCAGAAATTCTGAGTCCCACCCCATGAGTTTCTTATTCAGCAGGTCTGAGGCAAGGTCTTTTTTTTTTTAGACGGAGTCTCGCTCTGTCACCCAGGCTGGAGTGCCATGGCGCCATCTCGGCTCACTGCAACCTCCGCCCCCTGGGTTCAAGTCATTCTCATGCCTCAGCCTCCCAAGTAGCTGGGATTACAGGTGCCTGCCACCATGCCCAGCTAATTTTTTTTTTTTTTTTGGTATTTTTAGTAGAGATGGGGTTTCACCGTGTTAGCCAGGATGATCTCGATCTCCTGACCTTGTGATCTGCCCGCCTTGGCCTCCCAAAGTGTTGGGATTACAGGTGTGGGCCACTGCACCCAGCCTTTTTTTTGAGACAGTCTCACTATGTAGCCCAGGCTGGAGTGCGGTGGTGTGATCTCACTGCATCCTCTGCCTCCTGGGTTCAAGCGATTCTCCTGCCTCAGCCTCCTCAGTAGCTTGGATTACAGGCACCCACCACCACGCCCGGCTAATTTTTTTTATATTTTTAGTAGAGATGGGGTTTCAGCATGCTGGCCAGGCTGGTCTTAAACTCCTGATCTCAAGTGATCCACCGCACCCAGCCTGAGGTATGGTCTTGAATATGCGTGCCTCACATTTCCAGATGATACTGCTGCTTCTGGTCTGAGGACTACAGTTGGACCCACTGATGTAGAGGGTGGGATGGAGAGTGTGGGCAGCAAGACCATTCAGGAAGCTGTGGAAATAACCCAGATGGGAGGTGACAGAGGCAAGGCTGATCACAGTTTAGATCTGGGTGCTGCGAACTTTTCAATGCCTTAATGGTGAGATTGTAGGCATGGTGATAAGAGGCTGTTTCTTGGAGGGAAATCCACTGGGCAATCATGTGCCCCTGGCACTGGCCAGGACAGCCCCCAACACCCAGCTTGGGGGGGGGCCAGATCCACAAAGACAAGATGCCCAGAGTTGCAGTTTAATGTTTAATGCCCAATTATCTCAATACAAGGAGGCTTACATGGTGCTCATCAAGACAGGACCAGCGAAACCAGGCCGCAGGAACTGACCCGCATGAGTCCCAGCACGGGGACCATGTTCTCTCGGGTCCAGCTCACCCTCGAAAAGTGTCACAGGCAAGGTTCTTCAGCTCACCCAGGAGCCAGCAGGCTGGCCAGGCTTATGGCCATCATGGTCACTGAGGGTCCTCGTGGGAGAGTAGGGTTCTGGGACCTCAGGATACAATGACAAGAACCAGAAAGCTGCTTCCAAACAACCCCAAAAGGTTTTCACTTCACGTGCGCTAAGCCACACAACACCTGGATGCTGGGGCACCCAAACCCTTTCCCTAAAACTCTAAACACTGCAGAATGGAGGCTGAGAACACTAGGGGAGAGAGAACAAAGTCAGAACCATCCTAAAGCCAGTTTTTCAAGCCTGACCACCTCCCTCTTCCTCCCTGCAGGCACACCAGCCGATCCCATTACTCTGGAAAAGGAACACCCTCTGGTCTAACACCTTTAATGGGAAGGGAGTTAGGAGCATGTTCTCGTCTTCAAGAAATCTCTGAATCTCCAACTCTACTGGATGATTTCCTGGAGCCCCAAGCTTTAGACATCTCTGAGGACATGGGTGATTTTGCGGGGGCTGCTGGTAGGGCTGGGAAGTTTCCTGGCAGAAATTATTTACCTCAGAAAGAAACTGGTTTTTCTCCTACCCTAGTTTTAAAGTCTACCTGGTCCCTAAAGAAAATACCACTCAGGCTGGGCCTGGTGGCTCATGCCTGTCATCCCAACACTTTGGGAGGCTGAGGCGGTGGATCACTTGAGGTTAGGAGTTCAAGACCAGCCTGACTAACATGGCAAAACCCCGTCTCGACCAAAAATACAAAATTAGCCGGGCGTCGTGGCGCATGCCTATAGTCCCAGCTACTTGGGAGGCTGAGGCAGAAGAATCACTTGAACCTGGGAGGCAGAGGTTGCAATGAGCCGAGATCAGGTCACTGCACTCCAGCCCGGGCAACAGAATGAGAGTCCACCTCAAAAAAAAGAAAAAAGAAAATACCACTCAAAATGCGTCCTGAAAGCGCTCTGTGGAAGTCGGGAGGCTTCAAGTGTCACTGGCAGGAAGCGGGCAGATTGCGTTCTGCACTGAATCTGAGGCTTGGCCTGGGAGGCCTAGCCCCGTGGCCAGGCAAGGTGTGAAAGGGACAGTACAGAGGGGGACAGAGACAGCTGCTGAGGACACAGGGCACAAGCCTGAGGGCAGCTCCCCTGTCCAGCCATACGGAGAGGTGTTTAGGGCATAAGCTTACATTCCAGACTTCAGTATTAAACTCATTCCCCATGGGTCCTGCAGGCCTCTTCTTCCTTTTCTCTGATGTAATTCTTGGGAAAAGCTCCAGACAGAGCCCAAGGGATGGGAGTCAAACACCTCTGACTCCAGGGATGGCAGATGGCTAAATGGCAGCCCAGTGGAGACCTCAGAAGAGCAGCCCACTCACCCCAAACGAGATCCCACGCAGGGTCCCTGAGCATGCTAGACTTTAAGATGGGCTTCTGATAAGACCCTTGTATTTGGGGAGGGGAGACCAAAAGTATTTCTGTAAAGGGTACAAAATTAGCCTTGCTTATAGAGTGGGGGCAGCTGTGACCTGCTGACCACTCCCGGGAGGGGGCTAACTTGGGGGCCCAGGAATTTGAGCAAATGAGGAGGCACAATTGTCCCCAACTGGGCATTAGATCACATTGGGCCCCACCCTGAAATAATCCCCCGTCTCAAACTTCAGACATCAGTCAGTTAGTTCAGGAGCCATCCAACAAAACCAACTTCATATTTTAAACCAGCTTAATGCTACAGACTTTTTAAAAAAGTGCTGTCCAGCCAAGCCTCTGAGAAAACCTAGCTCCCTGAGGGGTGGGTGGCAGGCCTCTCAGACCAACCCCTGCGCCTCTCTCCAGAAGGCACGGCCTTGGTTCAGCCCAGAGCACCCACATCCCAGGGTGAGTGGAGGACAAGAGCAGCTGGGCTGCAGGGATAATGTGGGATGATCAAGCCTCTGGGGGAACAGGCTGAAGCCAAAAGACCCCCTTAGGACCCCAGGCCTGAAGAGGTAACATGAGTTCCTCTCCCCATTAGCTGCGAAGGCCTGGTCTGCCATGAAGGCCTCTCTCTGTCACCCCCTCAGTATACCTGGGAAAAAAGGGGTGAACAAGTCACCAAGCCCCAGTCACCTCTGTCCTTGGGGGTCTGAGTGAGCTCTGAGGGGTGGAGCGGTCCTTAAGGAACCATCCCCTTCAATAACATGGTGAAAAACTTCCTCCCAGGGAAGCAGAGAATGATGCCAGCGCCACATCGGGGGGCGGAGGGGATGCTTTGGGCAGTTTTTTGTTTTAATCTGACCCTTCTTTTTTTTTTTTTTTTTTTTTTTTTTGAGACGGAGTCTCGCTGTGTGGCCCAGGCTAGAGTGCAGTGGCCCGATCTCGGCTCACTGCAAGCTCCACCTCCCGGGTTTGCCATTCTCCCGCCTCAGCCTCCAAGTAGCTGGGACTACAGGCGCCCGCCACCACGCCCGGCTAGTTTTTTGTATTTTTTTAGTAGAGACGGGGTTTCACCATGTTAGCCAGGATGGTCTCGATCTCCTGACCTCGTGATCCACCCGCCTCGGCCTCCCAAAGTGCTGGGATTACAGGCTTGAGCCACCGCGCCCGGCCTAATCTGACCCTTCTTTACAGTGGGGCTGCCTCTGCCTACCAAGTCCTTGGTGCAAAATGGCTCCTGGACCACAGCAAGGCAGAAACTCTGAGGAAAGGTGCCCGCCACAGCCATGACAGCTGCCCCCATGTTCCTGTCTGTTTTCCTTGGGAGCTTGTCTCTGCTGGACCATTTTTACATCTCAAAGGGAGGGAGAGGTAAGGACTTCCTCAGGAAAGGGGTCTCCTGAGCTGGTGGCTCCTGTTTCCACAGGAGCCACAGTGCTACCTGCCTTAGGATGGCTCCCTGGAACCATCTCTGGGACAGAGGTGACCAGGAAGCCAAGACTGGCGGCTCAGCTGGAGATGTGAGGCCAAGAACAGGGGAGAGGCGAAAGGGCCCACAGCTGCCGTTTACTAGAATTGTGAGGCCTAAGTGCAATTAGCATTCCGGCCGACTGGACAGCCCCTCAGAGACCCAGCCCCACCACTATGGGGAAACCAGGGACGTGGCCTGGGTCCCTCCCTTGGAAACCCAGACCTGCCCTGGAACATGGACAGCGATGGGCCCTGATGGGCCTGTCTGCGGAGGCCTCACTAAAAACTAGAACAACCTCCCTGCTAAAACTCAGGGAGCACAAACAAACCACTCAACCTGAAATAAATACAAAGGCATTAAGTGCTTCTTGGTACGTCGAGGGTCCTAATTACCCCTCAAAAGGAGGTAGCAGGGCCTTTCCCTGGACTTGGCCACCTCACCTGCAGCCTTCTCGTGAGAGGTCAGAGGTCAGAAGACTGGATGGGCCTCCCCAGGCCCAGCTTCCATTAGGAAGGTGAGGACCCACACCCTTATCCCCTCCTCACCCGTAGCATTCACATCTCCCCACACAGCTTCTGCCGGCTGGGGTGGGAAAGGCGAGGAGACCCCATTCCCTGAGGGCAGCACCTAGTGTCCAATGTCCCTGTGCAGGCAGAGGGCCTGTCAGCCTGTTTGTGAGGAGGTAGAGTCGGGGGCAGGCTGCTGGGGGCAGGCGGGGCCACTCAATTAATCAACAGGTCCCCGAGGTCGTAGGAGTCGAAGAGGTCGCTGATGCCCTCACCCGCCTCCAAGCCCCACAGGTAGTCGTCCTGGTCCAAGGACGGGGAGAAGCTGATCAGAGGGGAGCTGCATGCCAGGGTCGGGGACAGGAACTGGTCCTCAGTCTGCTGCAGGAGTGGGTGCGGCAGCTCCAGCATGCTGTCAGTAGCCTCCAAGGGGACCAGGGATGGAGGCGGTGGGGCCTGCTGGGGGGTTGGCGCTGGCGCTGGCACTGGAGACAAACAGACAAAGGTTACGCCTGGCCCTGGCATCCAAGCCCTCAGCACACAAGGACAGACTTCCGGTTCTCTGGACGACTGCACCCTTCTCCTCTCTCCTCAGCCTGGGTGCAATGCCCTGCTCTCAAAATCCACCTTCCAGAGTCTACACCCAACCCTACCCCTTTTCATGTACTTTTTATTTTTCTGAGACCGGGTGTCACTCTATCACCCAGGCTAGAGTGCAGTGTTGTGATCTCGGCTCACTGCAACCTCCACCTCCCAGGTTCAAGCGACTCTCCCACCTCAGCCTCCCGAGTAGCTGGACTATAGGCACACACCACCACACCCAGCTAATCTGTGTATTTTTAGTAGAGACGGGGTTTCACCATGTTGACCAGGCTGGTCTCAAACTCCTGACCTCAAGTGATCCGGCTCCCTTGGCCTCCCAAAGTGTTGGGATTACAGGCCTGAGCCACCGCGCCCGGCCAAAAAGGAAAGAAATTCTGATATATGCTACAACATAGATGAACCCTGAGGACATTAAGCTACGTGAAATAAGCCAATCACAAAAAAACAAATACTGTGTGATTCCACTTATATGAAATACTTAGTCAAAAGCGCAGGGACAGAGAGTAGAAGGGTGGTGGTCAGGGGCTGGGGAGACAGGGGAATGGGGAATAGGTACAGAGTTTAGTTTTACGAGGTGGAAGGAGTTATGGACATGAATGGTGGTGATAGTTACACAACATTATGAATGTATTAATTACCACTGAACTGTACATTTAAAAATAGTTACGATGGTAAATTTTTGTTATGTTGACTCTACTCCCCACGACACACAACTATACCTTACCTCGTCACCCTCTCCAATTACTGGCCCATTTTTCTGCTCCTTTGCGCAGTAAACTTTCTCCAGAGTAGCCTGAGCTTGTCTCTACTTCCTTATTACTATTCTCTCTTCAACTCACTCCAGTCTGGGGTCTCTCCCCACCATGTCCCTGAACCAATGACCTCCATGCTGCTAAATTCAATGGTCATTTATCTGGCCTCATCTTATTTGACCTTTCAGTAGCCATTCTCCAGCACTCTAAGCTCATTTCTTTCTCTTCTTTTTTTTTTTTTGTTTTGTTTTTTTGGAAACAGGGTCTTGCCCAGGCTAGAGTGCAGAGTGCAGTAGGGTGAACACGGCTCACTGCAGCCTCAACCTCCTGGGCTTGAGCAATCCTCCCGCTTCAGTCTCCTGAGTAGCTGGGACCACTGGTGCATGCCACCATGCCCATCTAATTTTTAAACTTTTTTGTAGAGATGGGGTCTCACTCTGTTGCCCAGGCTGGTCTCGAACTTCTGGGCTCAAGCAATCCTCCTGCCTCAGCCTCCCAAAGTGCTGGGATTACAGGCATGAGCCACCACACCCAGCCTGCTCATTTCCACTAAGAGGTAAGATGGTGATTTCCCATACAGGGACATGCAATGAGGCACTGGAAATTGCCTGCCACATACATCCTGATGCTCAGAACTCCCCCCATTGGAGTCATTCCTTAAGCCCCAGCCAAGTATTATTTTGAAGATACAACTGCGCTGGGATGCTAGGCTGCCTGTTGAAACTGGAGGTGCACCCGTAGACATGTGATTTCACTTATTTATTTATTTATTTATTTATTTATTTATTTTGAGATGGAGTCTTGCTCTGGGCTTCACGTTTTAGGGCATCCACTTCCTCCCCTCTGCAAGGGGCACGGTAGCTCTACCTACCTCAAAGGGTTGCTCAGAGGACTGCATGGTAAGTGCATATGAAGCACTGGTTTGGTCTGGCGCAGTGGCTCATGCCTATACCAGCACTTTGAGAGGCTGAGGTGGGCAGATCACTTGAGGTCAGGAGTTCGAGATCAGCCTGGCCAACATGGTGAAACCCCCATCTCTACTAAAACTACAAAAATTTGCCAGATGTGTTGGCGGGCCACCTGTAGTCCCAGCTACTCAGGAGGGACTAAGGCAGGAGAATGGCGTGAACCCAAGAGGCGGAGCTTGCAGTGAGCCTAGATCAAGCCACTGCACTCCAGCCTGGGAGGCAGAGCAAGACTCAGCCTCAAAAAAAAAAAAAAAAAAAAATTGCTCCCATTTACCAAGACTAATGGGGGAGGTGGTGACACTGCCCTTGAGGCGAGGCGTGGTTTAGCCTCCTTGGACACTCAAACGGCCCTGAGGGAGTCCATGCTGTTACCCCTATTTACAGATGAGAAAACTAGGGCCCAAATAAGTCAATTAAATGTATTTGAATTAAAAAAAAAAAAATCTAAAGTTTGTTTGGCACGCTGCTGATGTTACAGTCAGAGGCCTGGCTTGGGAGCGGGGAGCATGTGGGCTCAGACTCTGGCGCCTCCTCTCACCAGCCATGGAACCCCAGAACTGTTTCCTCATGTGGAAAAACAGGGATGAGTATTAGAAGCAGTAACTGATAAGACACATGTGAAAATGTCTATTATAGATCAGACCTTATTGTCTCCTGCTGTTGATCACGTCCAGAAATAGAATCGCCTTTTGTAATATGTGTCTCTCCACCACCCTCTGAATGGCTCTTTCTGTCTCTAAAACAGCACTAGGCCCAGCTAGTAGATGCTCTTCACATAAGCCTTTTTTTTTTTTTTGAGACAGAGTCTCACTCTGTCGGCCAGGCTAGAGTGCAATGATGTAATCTCAGCTCACTGCAACCTCTGCTTCCCTGGTTCAAGTGATTCTTGTGCCTCAGCCTCTTGAGTACCTGGGATTACAGGCATGCACCACCACCTCCGGCTAATTTTTGTATTTGTAGTAGAGATGGGGTTTCATCGTGTTGGCCAGGTTGATCTGGAACTTCTGGCCTCAAATGATCCACCTCCCTCAGCCTCTCCAAGTGCTAGATTACAGGCGCGCACCACCGCGGCTGGCCACATAAGCTTTTTTTTTTTTTAAAAAAAGCACATTTATGCCATATCATCTCCTATAACCCACTCAGTATTCGTGAGGAAATTTCAAGTGTCCCCATTTGAGAGATATGGGAACTGAGGCTTCGAGGAGTTAAAGTGATTCACTGACAGTCACCAAGTCACTAAGAGGTGAGATACAGGTTTGAACCCAGGTCTCCCAATTTCAAATCCTGTGCCATCAGCTACATTTAGGTTTATTTCAGAATGTCAGAGCCTGGAGAAATGTCAGAGACGATGTTGTTCAAACCCCTTCTATTACAAATGAGGGAAACTGAGGCTGAAGAGAACACTTCCCCTGGTAATGCATAACCAGGGCCAGGACCCAGGTCCCAAGACTGTAGCAGCTTCCTCTCTTACATGGCCTCTGGCACTCAGACCTCAAAACAACACTACTTCAGAACACAGCACGGAACACGCGTGTGGGGGCGTGTGTGTGTGTCTGTGCAGGAGAATCGCTTGAACCTGGGAGGCGGAGGTTGCAGTGAGCCGAGACCAGGAAAACTTCCTCTTCCTCCCTTCAGCAGGGTAACACTGAGGCCATGCGACAAGGGTCGGGGGGACAGCTATGACATGAGAGCTGGCCCCACCACTGATTGTTCTGTAAGCCTCTACTCCTCTCTAGGCCTCAGGATCTTGATTTGTAAACCTCAGGTAAAAACTTCCCATCCGGCCAGGCTGGGTGACTCACGCCTATAATCCCAGCACTTTGGGAGGCTGAGGTAGGTGGATCATCTGAGGTCAGGAGTTTGAGACCAGCCTGGCCAACGTGGTGAAACCCTGTCTCTACTAAAAATACAAAAATTAGCCAGGCATGGTGGCACGTGCCTGTACTCCTAGCTACTCACAAGGCTGAGGCAGGAGAATCGCTTGAACCTGGGAAGCAGAAGTTGCAGTGAGCCGAGATCGTGCCACTGCACTCCAGCCTGGGTGATAGAGTGAGACTCTGTCTCAAAAAAAAAAACAACTTCACACCCTTGTTTATGCTTTGGGATCTGCCCCCTCCACCCAACCTCTCAGAGGACAACTGAAGCGAAGGTGATTCCAGCTTTGGAGGGCTATGCGCATGCTAACACTTGAGTGAGGAGGCACAGCAGGAGGAGGATGGACCAGAGGGTGGGGCACAGGTCTGGGATGGGAGATAGGCACTGGGGAGGTGCCCCGAGGGACAGATGGCTGGCACAGGGAGAAGCTCTGGTCCCTGATGAGGCCTGAGAGACACACGAGAGATCATTAGAGAAGAGTTGGGAGGCTGGGCTCTGGTCCCAGCTCTGCCATCAACTTGCTGTGTGACCTTAGGGAAGCCACTTGCCCTCTCTGGGCCTCTGTTCACTCATGTGTAAAAAGAAGGGTTGAGTTAGATGGGGACAGCAAACTTCTATAAAGAGCTGGAGCCTGTAATCCCAGCACTTTGGGAGGCTGAGGCAGGTGGATCATCTGAGGTCAAGTGTTCAAGACCAGGCTGGCCAACATGGGGAAACCCTGTCTCTACTAAAAATACATACACACACAGAAAAATTAGCTGGGCGTGATGGCAGGCACCTGTATTCCCAGCTACCTGGGAGGCCGAGGCAGGAGAATTGACTGAACCCGGCAGGCACAGGTTGCAGTGAGCCGAGATCGCACCATTGCACTGCAGCCTGGGTGACAGAGCCAGACTCTGTCTCAAAAAAAAAAAAAAAAAAAAAAAAAAAAAAAGGCTTGAGAGTATTTTAGGTTTTGTGGGACACTTGTGGTCTCTGTCACACAGTTGCCTTCTTTTTCTTTCTCCCACAACTCTTTTTTTTTTTTTTTTTGAGACAGAGTCTCGCTCTGTCGCCCAGGCTGGAGTGCAGTGGCCGGATCGCAGCTCACTGCAAGCTCCGCCGCCCGGGTTCACACCATTCTCCTGCCTCAGCCTCCCGAGCAGCTGGGACTACAGGCGCCCGCCACCTCGCCCGGCTAGTTTTTTGAATTTTTTTAGTAGAGACAGGGTTTCACCGTGTTAACCAGGATGGTCTCGATCTCCTGACCTCGTGATCCACCCGTCTCGGCCTCCCAAAGTGCTGGGATTACAGGCTTGAGCCACCGCGCCCGGCCTCTCCCACAACTCTTTAAAAATGTTAAACCATTCTCAGCTCATGGGTCATTAAAAGCAGGTCAGATTTGACCTGCAGGCAATAGTTTATTAACCTCTGAGTTAGAGAAACGGACACAACCAGGGTACTGCAGAACCCTTCCAGCAAGCCTATTCCATCAGCCCAGCTCTAGCCCTACCTTTGTCTAAACACTACGGTTCTACTTAAGAGAATGCTGCTGTAAAATAAGAAGACAAAAAGTGGAACACTGGCCTACACAGCCTTGAAGAATCCTGCCGGTCTAACCGGATGTGTGATCCCAGGAAAAGGCAAAAACTGTTCTGGAGAGGGGCCTTTACAGGCTTCCATTTGTACTCCTTCTGGACTCCCACCCTCTTTGGGAAGCTCTCAGGAACTCTGCTCCCTGGCAACTTCCCTGTACTACCTTCCACCAGGGGTAGCCAGCTCTTAACCATACTGTCCACCTCCCAGCCAGAAGCCCCTTCTTTGATTTGTTCTATGCCTTGTGGAGAGAGCACTGGGCTGGGAGTGTATAGACCAAGGTTCAAGACACAGCTCTGTTGCCTCCCAGCTGGGAGACCTTGGGTAAAACACATCACCTCTATGCCTTAATTTTTTTTAATGGGCAAATTTTATTATTTTATTTTATTTTTATTAGAGATGGAGTTTCATTATGTTGCCCAGGCTGGTCTTGAACTCCTGGGCTCAAGTGATCCTCCCACCTCACCTTCCCAGAGTGCTGGGATTATAGGTGGGAACCACAGCATCTGGCCTATTCTTTTTTTTTTTTTTTTTTTGAGACGGAGTCTCGCTCTGTCGCCGGGGCTGGAGCGCAGTGGCCGGATCTCAGCTCACTGCAAGCTCCGCCTCCCGGGTTTACGCCATTCTCCTGCCTCAGCCTCCTGTGTAGCTGGGACTACAGGCGCCCGCCACCTCGCCCGGCTAGTTTTTTGTATTTTTTTAGTAGAGACGGGGTTTCACCGTGTTCGCCAGGATGGTCTCGATCTCCTGACCTCGTGATCCGCCCGTCTCGGCCTCCCAAAGTGCTGGGATTACAGGCTTGAGCCACCGCGCCCGGCCTGGCCTATTCTTTTTAAATTTTATTCTTATTTTTATTTTTGAGACAGGGTCTCCCTCTGTTGCCCACGCTGGAGTGTGGTAGCATGATCATAGCTCACTGCAGCCTCAACCTCCATGGCTAAAGTGATCCTCCCACTTCAGCCCCCCGAGTAGCTGGGACTACAGGCGTGTGCCACCACACCCGTCTAATTTTTAAATTTTTTTGTAGAAACAGGGTATCCTGTTGCCTGGGCTGCTCTTGAACTCCTGGTCTCAAATGATTCTCCTGCCTCGGCCTCCCAAAGTGCTGGGATTATAGGCATGAGCTATAATCTCACAACAACCTATGAGTTAGACAGTATTAATTACTGTGCCCAACTCACAGATGAGAAAAATTGAGGCCAAGAGAGGTGAAGTAACTTGTCCAAGGTCACAAAGCTGGTAAGTGGTTGGGCTGGGATTCAGATCCAGGCCTTCCTCTGCCCTGGAGCAGCACCAGCCTTCCTAGCGGGGCTTTATAAAGCATGAAGTACAATGCACATGTGTGGGGTAGGATGACTGCATCTCCAGCTGCTGGATAAAACAGGAGATTTTCAACACCGATGTAGAAGAGAAAACTAAGGCCGGTCGCTCCCCCGACCTCCTGTCCCTCTGGACAAGGGCCCTACCTGAGGATGCTGTGGGCTCCATGATGCTAGGGTCGGTGCTGCTGCTGGGCTGGGCAGAGTCAGGGCTGGGGCAGAGGGTGGAGGTAGAGGGGAGGGGCTCCTCGGAAGGACTGTCCGGCTCCTGCACCTCCTCTGGGCACAGGTAGACTTCGATGGGCCCTTGGGTGCTCTTGAGATATATCTGCAGGTTGTCCTGAAGGAGGAAGAGAAGCCAGGTCATTGCTCTGGGCAGCTGGACACTTACACTCAGTGTATATGGACAGACGCACATGGCTGCTGCCATCCCTGGGTGCAAGCTCAACCCCTGGGCTGGCACTGAGACCAACTCCATCTGGCCTAAGGTGGACTTCCGCTGTTTCTGCTGTCTGGCCCCGAAACCCACTTCTTTTAGGGGGAACACCTTGATTTTCCTGTGGGAAATCACTCTTCCCTCCACTCTCAGGTCATGTAGTTTTGGGGCAGGGGGGCAGAACCCTTCCCCAATGCCAGTGGGTGAGCTTGTGACGCAGCCAGGAAAGTTAGTGTGACGTGATTGGTTGGGGTGGCAAATGGCTCCGGTGGATCCAACCAGCACTAGGCCCACGACTTTTGCTGGACTTGTGGGAAATGGGAGCCCCCTTCCCACTGGGGTTGCTGAGCTGGTATCATAAAAGCTGTCTCTGCCACCACAAGGAGAGAGCCCACCTGGGAATAGAGTCAGCACAGAGAAAAGCAGAGAGATGAAAAGCGTGAGACAGACCTGAAGTCATAGTTTGGGCATCTACATCCAGCCTTGCCCGCAATCTCTGAATCTCCCCCAGGACTTGTCACTTGGTTCCCGCCACCCCTAGGCATACCTCCGGCTGAAGCCAGTTGGACTTGGCTTTCTGTTACTTGTAACCAAGAGTCCTAATATTTGGCCTTCCCACTCTGCCTCTTCCCTACCACATAACTACAACTTAAGCCACAACTGATGACATGCCTGCCATCCCGGCACATGTCCAGGTCTCCATGCCTGTGTTCCCACAGGACTACACCTAGCAAAAACCCTATTCGTTCTTTAAGACCTAGTTTAACTGTTCCTATCTGGGATACCTCCTCTAACTACCCTTTCTCTATGCTCTCAAAGCACATCTTCTGTCTATAAATGACAGCGGTTTTTTTCCCACTAAGTCCTGAACTCCTCCAGGGGAGGGGCGGGATGTTAATCGTCTCTGCAGCCCCCGTTCTTCCTGGGGCTGGCTCTGGGCAAGGGATATAAGGTGAGCAGAACATTCTCTCGTGAAGCTTATACTCTAATAGATGAAGCAGAATGCAATTGTGTAATCATGCCAAATATACCTCAGCAAATGGAGATTAAAGGCAGTGGAAAAGCACAGGTGTTTACGAAGTCTGGAGGTAATCAGAGAAGGCTTCCTTGAGGAAGTGACATTTGAGTTGAGACCTGTAGGATGAATAGCAGTAAACCAGGCAGAGAGGGAAGAGCATTTCAGCTGAGGGGAAGAGCATGTATGAAGGTCTTGCACAGCTAGGTGCGGTGGTTCACCCCTGTAATCCCAGCACTTTGGGAAGGCAAGGTGGGCAAATCACTTCTACGCTGGAGTTCGAGACCAACCTGGACAACATGGCAAAACCTCGTCTCTACAAAAAGTACAAAAAATTTGCTAGCCATGGTGGCATGCACCTGTGGTCCCAGCTACTGAGGAGGGTGAGGTGGGAGGATGGCTTGAGCCCGGGAGGCAGCGGTTGCAGTGGGCTGAGATCATGCCACTGCACTCCAGCCTGGGTGACAAAGCAAAACCCTGTCTTTAAAAAAAAATCAAATAGGTCGAGCTCAGTGGCTCATGCCTGTAATCCCAGCACTTTGGGAGGCCGAGGCGGGTGGATCACGAGGTCAGGAGTTCAAGACCAGCCTGACCAACATGGTGAAACCCCATCTCTACTAAAAAAAAGTACAAAACTTAGCCGGGCATAGTGGCAGGCGCCTGTAATCCCAGCTACTTGGGAGGCTGAGGCAGGAGAATCGCTTGAACCTGGAAAGCGGAGGTTGCGGTGAGCCGAGATCACGCCATTGCACTCCAGCCTGGGTGACAGAATGAGACTCCGTCTCAAAAATAAATAAGTAAATAAATAAATAATTAAAATAAAATAAAATAAAACAGAAGATCTCATACTAGGAATGAACTTAGTGCAATGGGGTAACTGCAGACAGGTCAGTGTGGCCAAAACAAAGACAGATGGGGCAGCAGGGAAAAGGACGAGGCCAGCTGGGGTCAGAGCACCGAAGCCTCATAGGGAGCGTCAGGAATTTTGGTCTTTAACTTGGGAAAGCACAGTCAGCATGAAGGGATTTTCATGAGTACTGACACCGTCATACGTGGGCACGAGTGTGCATGTGTGCAGGAACCCAGGGCCGGTGGGATGCAGAAGAAACTAGGAACAGAGATTTTCTCAGGCCACTGCTCAGTCTCGGTTGCCCTTTCCAGCCTCTGCCATTTCTGCTCAAGCTTGAAGGCCACCAATATTGCCATGGACACCAGAATGGGCCTGGGAAGCATGGGGCTAGGCAGTGCCCGGGACAGAGTCTACAGAGCTGCTTGGAACCCTCCCTAGCAGGGTCTCAACCCTGCTCTCCACCAAATATTTCGCCTCTCACCTCAGTCCTGTCGGGCACTTCCAGTCTTGTCTGCGGAGGGGCCTTGACGGCAATCACTGTTTGCTCCTTAAAGTTGCCGACAGCACGGATATCCTGGTAAGTCACATAGGCCAGCGTAGGGCAGGAGAGTCAAGAAAAGTGACTGTCTGGTCAAAATTCAAATCCCAAGCCTGCCAGGAAGCACCTTCACCTCCTAAGCCTCTGAACATTACTTTCTCACTCCTTGTGCAGCTTAGAAATAACTACAATCTGTAACCTGTTAATATCATAAGCTACCTTGGATCCCTTTGGAAAGCAAATGGGGATATAAATCATAAAAATTGTTGCCTTTTATCAGTTTTTTATATAAAGGCTTCATCTCTCAAACTAGATCATTAGTTCTGAGAAGGCAGGAAGACGTGTTTTATTTCTTTATATTTCTCACAATGCCTCACATCCTTCCGAAAATACAAGATCATATCCAAAACCAATTTGATATGAAACAATTTTGGAAAATGTATGAAAGAGCCTTAGCAAAGTCCATGCTCTTTGACCTCTTCATTTTAATCCTAGGAATCTGACCTAGGAAAACAAGTAAAAATATGGGAAAGTGTTCTATGTATAAAGATACTCGGCCGAGAGTGGTGGCTCATGCCTATAATCCCAGCACTTTGGGAGGCCAAGGCAGGTGGATAACTTGAGGTCAGGAGTTCAAGACCAAACTGGCGAATGTGGTGAAACCCCATCTCCACTAAAAATACAAAAATTAGCTGGGCATGAAGTCCGGGTGTGGTGGCTCACTCCGGTAATCCCAGCACTTTGGAAGGTCGAGGCGGGTGGATCACCTGAGGTCAGGAGTTTGAGACCAGCCTGACCAATATGGTGAAACCGCATCTCTACTTAAAATACAAAAATTAGCTGGGTGTGGTGGCAGGCACCTGAAATTTCAGCTACTTGGGAGGCTGAGGCAGAAGAATCTCTTGAACCCAGGAGGAAGAGGTTGCGGTGAGCCGAGATCGCACCACTGCACTCCAGCCTGGGCAACAAGAGCGAGACTCCATCTCAAAAAACAAATAAATAAATAAATTAGCCAGGCGTGGTGGCGGGCCCCTGTAATCCCAGCTACTTAGGAGGCTGAAGTAGGAGAATCGCTTGAACTCAGGAGGTGGAGGTTGCAGTGAGCCAAGATTGTGCCACTGCACTCTATCCTGGGCGACAGAGTAAGACTCTGTCTTTAAAAAAAAAAAAAAAAAAAAGAAAGAAAAGCTATGTGCAGCAGGCACACAACTATATTACAACTATATTTAAATAACACACATTCTGTGTGCAATTCTGGAACAATGGCTATGTTAAGGTGGCAGTTTGTCATTCTTTTTCTCCATTTTCCAGATTTAAAGGCAAATGTACTTGGCTTATTTTCAATAATGAAAAAATACCTTTAATAAACTTGAGACCAGGCACAGTGACTCATGCCTGTAATCTCAGCACTTTGGGAGACGGCAGACTGAAGTGGGAGGATCGATTGAAACCAAGAGTTAGAGACCAGCCTGGGCAACAAAGTGAGACCCTGTCTATACAAAAAATAAAAAATTAGCCAGGCATGGTGGCACACGCCAGTAGTTCCAGCTATTCGGGAGGCTGCGGTGGGAGGATCACTTGAACCCAGGAGTGTGAGGCTGTAGTGAGCTATGATCATGCCATTGTACTACAGCCTGGATGACAGAATGAGCCCTTGTCTCTAAAAAAAAAAAAAAAAAAAATTCAAAAAATAGACTTGAGAAGAAAGGCCACCCAGGAAGGAAGAAACAGATGCCAGACCCTTAGGGTAAGTTACTGAATCAACTCAGGATAGATATAAACATGCAACAGGTTCCTGCTCCCTGACACCTTCCCCCAACGAAGGAGGATATCTCTTGTTGGCCTTGTCCTCAGTCAGGTGCTTGAAGCTCAGAGAGCAGCTCTGGATGAGCTGGTCCAAGGCCTCCTCGATGTTCATCAGCTCCTTCAGCTCCTGCCCCAGCTGTTGCTGCTTCCCAGGCCGGGTGGGGTCTTCAAACATTCCCCTGCCTCTGGGAACAGAGCAGCCCCCCAGTGTCAGTCTGTGGGTGAAACTCCAGAACAAGGGCATTCAAAAAATAGTCTATGAGGGTGCTCCCCTGGGTTGTGTAAATCAGTGGTCATGCCTGGCTCTCAGGGAGCTACCAGGGATTGGAACGAGAGGTTTGGGGGTTGGGCTTGGGAGAAGAAACAAGTCAAGGCCTGAACCCCACTTCTGGGGGGCTCTCGATTCTGTTCATCCCTATCCCCCAGCCTCCTCCAACTGGAGTAGCCTCAGTCCTGACTCCCCACTCTGGCTTCTCTTAGGCCAGGGCTGTAGGCCACCTCTTAGGTTGAACTCTTAGGTTCTCTTAGGCCACCTATGCCAAGGGCCGTAGGTCAGTTCTTTAAATCCTGTAGAAATGGAGAGAGGAGGCTGGAGTACTCCTATCTCAGATCTGGAAGAAGTCCGGGATCCCCCTACTTAGCTCCCAGGGGACTGCCCTAAGCTAGAAGGAGTGGATATTAGGATCTCTGACTCGAGAGGAAGAATCTGGGGTCCCCTTTGGCCTTTACACCTCCCAGATGTCATTCGTCACTCTGCCCCGCATCACGTTCTCCTATTACTTCAGCAGGTACACGGCGCTCTTCCTCACCATACATTGGCTCTACCCCCAGCAATAAGCCTATTGGATGTTGCTCTTGGTCCGCCTCAGCCCTTGTGCCCATTGGATGTTGCTCTCAGCCCTGCCCCTGCCACTCACAGCCACTGGCTATTGCCTCTGGCTCCGCCCACAGCGCAAGTACCCATTGGAGGGTACCACTGGCCGCCCAGGCACTCACACCCACTGGATGTTGTTCTTGGCCTTCTTGCGGATGAGCTGGATGCCCTCCAGCACGTTGGTGATGTCATAGATGCGCCGCTTCTGCACGTCCAGCACCTCAGCGGCCCAGTTCAGGTCCAGGACCCCATCCTCTGACTCGCTCAGGAGGTAAATGAACTTCTTGGTGAGCAGCCCCAGCGAGGTGTCATACCGAGTCTTCTCCCCGGGGGATTTGGGGGCTGAGGAAGAAGGGGACCCAGTCACAGCTCAGGGAGGGCCCACGCAGGACCCTCATCCATTGACCTAGGCTCATTAAGTACCAACTTTTCACCACTTTCCAGTCTACAAAGCACTGTGAGCAAGGGCATCCATCACCACCACTGTCCAGACAGGAAACCTGATACCTGAGAGGGAAGGTGACTTGCTTAAGGTCTCACAGCTAGTGGGCAGTATTGGAAGCCAAGTGTCCTGACTCCTGGTTTAAATGCACATTTCCACCACAGCTTAGGGCTGCCATACCACCATCCACAACTACTGTCACTGTTCTAAGTGCTTTCCATATACGAACACATTTAAGTCCTACAACACCCTATAAGGTTGCTGTACAGTCATCCCCATTTTATAGATGAGAATACTGAGGCACAGTTTAAGTAATTTACTTAGCTCACTCAGCTAGAAAGTGGCAAAGCTGGAATTCAAATCCAGGCAGTCTGGCTCCAGAGTTTTCCTTCTTTTTTTTTTTTGAGACGGAGTCTCGCTCTGTTCCCCAGGCTGGAGTGCAGTGATGCAATCTCGGCTCACTGCAAGCTCCGCCTCCCGGGTTCACGCCATTCTCCTGCCTCAGCCTCCCGAGTAGTTGGGACTACAGGTGCCCATCATCGTGCCCAGCTCGGCCTCACAAAGTGCTGGGATTACAGGCGTGAGCCACTGCACCCGGCCCGGAGTTTTCCTTCTTAAGCATCACCCTATCCTGCCACCTAAATGTCCGGAGTTTGGAATTAGAATAGGGTAGAAATGATAAGCCTGGATTTAAGAGCATTTTTATAGATATGCACTTGCTTTTTCTTCCCATGTGAATCACAGTGATCTGAAAAAAATCGGTCCTGTAACATAAAGTGGGGGAGGTTCATGAAAAAGGTCCCTTTCTCAAATGAGGTTGATGTTGCAAGACCACATCTCAGCTGCAGCATCTTAAACCACAAGGGGACTTTTGTAATCGAGTGACTTCCAAGTCATATGGCAAGTTAGTGGCCAATCTAATAATTCTGGAGACTGAGTTTTAGAGTCTTAGGTTCCTCTGGAAGAGGACCAGTTATCATGAGCCTTAGGATCCTTTAAGACAGTGCTTTGGGCAGCTTTGACCAATCAAATGTAGAGGAAACTTTCTTGCCATTCCTGATCTAGCTGTGCCTCCTTTCACAAGAGACAACTAAGGTTCACAGGAGTGAACTGTCAGGTCGGGGCATAGGCCTTCCTGGACCCCCAAAACTAGTGTTCCTTCCAAACACAGTTGCTTAAACTCCTGCTCTAACCCAGAATTTTTTTTTTTTTTGAGATGGAGTCTCACTCTGTCTCCCAGGCTGGAGTGCAGTGGCACCATCTCGGCTCACTGCAACCTGCCTCCCAGGTTCAAGCGATTCTCCTGCCTCGGCCTCCCGAGTAGCTGGGATTATGCACCACCATTATGCACCACCACGCCCAGCTAATGTCTGTATTTTCAGTAGAGATGGGGTTTCACCACGTTGGCCAGGCTGGTCTAGAACTCCTGACCACAGGTGATCTGCCCGCCTTGGCCTCCCAAAGTGCTGGGATTATAGGCGTGAGCCACCGTGCCCGGCCTATCCAGGATATTGACTGAAAATATCAAGAGGCAGCAACCCCCTCCAACTTAGCTTTAGGAAGGCACACCTGGGCAGCCTCTGGATCTTAAAAACCTCTGGGGTGGCAGAGACTGGATTAATCTGTGCTTCCCTTCCCTTTGAATCACTTGTTCAGCTCCTTGTCTGCATGTGGGAGAAAGACCCCGGTTAGCCCCTGCTCCTCTGATTGAGAAAAATTGACATTGACCTAAACATTAAAACTTTTTAAAAATAATAAATTCCCAAGTAAAACACTGGTCACTGCATTTAGATCATGAGAGCAGTACATAGCGTGGTAGAAGTAGTACGAGACTGGCCGGGTACGGTGGCTCACGCCTGTAATCCCAGCACTTTGGGAGGCCGAGGCAGGTGGATCACTTGAGGTCAGGAGTTCGAGACCAGCCTGGCCAATATGGGGAAACTGTGTCTCTATTAAAAATACAAAAATTAGTCAGGGATGATGGCATGCACCTGTAGTTCCAGCTACTTGGGAGGCTGAGGTGAGAGAGTTGCTTGAACCCCAGAGGTGGAGGTTGCAGGGAGCCAAGATGGCACCACTGCAATCCACGCTTGGTGACAGAGCGAGACCTGTCTCAAAACAACAACAAAAAACAAAAACAAAAAGTAAAAAACGTAGAAGTAGTACAAGACTTACACGTCCAGGCTCTAGTCCTGACTCCACTCTGAGACTATGGGCAAGTCACTCAAGCTCTCAGAGTCTCAAGTTGCCTGATTAGTAAAGAGAGACAAGCCTACCTACCCGTCAGGATCAAGTGATAAAATGCACAGGAAGCTTTTGATAAAATGCACAGGAAGGTTTTGCAAACTGGAAAGTGATCCAAATATGACTCCCAGTGATTGGGCAGGGCACTGCCCTCTGTCCCTGCCCCACCCCACCCCAGAGGCCCCATCAGCACTGCTTACTTTTGGGGCTGGGGAGGCCATCCACTCTGATGCACTTCCCCTTGGGGGTTGGGAACTCAGGGACGGCAGGCCTCCCAATCCCCTCCAGATCCAGCTTCCTTTTGGCCTTGGAGAGAAGGGGAAGAGAGAGGCAGAGTTTGAGAATCATTCCTCCTTTAGCCTTTCCCTGATATGGGGCCAAAGTGATAAGGTCACTTAGCAGCCACCTCTGTGCCTCAGTTTACCGCCAGTCCTGGTGAAGCCCTGCTGTACTTGATAGGAAAATATCAATGACCTGAGGAAGTGAGCTTTCAGGGGAAGTCTTGTTTCCTGAAGAGCAAATAAAATTCCCATCCTCTGAGGCCCAGGCACTTGAGACCCTACCAAAGCCAGTCTGGCCAGGGGCTCAGGGTTCCTTAACCACAGGCCTCAAGCCCGCTCCTACACCCGCTTCTCACCCCACCACACCCAGAGGATGATACCAGGAGGAAGCAGTGGGTAGGGCCTAAACCACATCAGGGTGGGGAAAGGGCCCCCTACAGAAGCAGCTGGCCCAGCCAGACTGAGTGCCCATCACAGTCCCACAGCTGGTCCTTATCAGGGTGGGGCTGGGCATCCGCCCAGACCCAGTGGACTTCCTGGCTCAGTGCCACACCCCAGGGAGGTGCCCACAGTGGAAAGCAGTACAAACATCCCCACCCCCATGTTTGGGCTCCAGCTTGAGGGCCCCAGGGCCTCCTGAATAGACTGCATTTGCCATTCTTTCTTTGCCGAGAGGGGCAGACAATGAATCCTTCCCACAGACAATGAATCCTTCCCGTGTCTAAGGACAAGCAGCTGAGGCCACCCCCCTCCCGCTCCCCCTCTCTGTTCCCGCCAAGCTTGGGAAACACCTGCCGGGGAAATCAAACCACAGACCCATCTGCTCCTCTCCACCCTGTCGCCACCCGGGCCCCAATTAGGCCCAGAGCTGCACTGGCCCGGAAAGGGCCTCTCTCCTGGTTAGGGCTGGGCAGGGGCAGGGCAGGGGCAGGGCTGGGGCACTGGGACACTGGGACATAGGTCAGAGACCCATGCTTGAACCTCCAGCTCCTTTGCAGGCTCACTGTACGAGCTCCATATCTAGGAGCCTCAGTTTCTTCCTCTGTAAATGGGGTAGAAAATGCCTACCTCAAGGGGCTATTGTAAGGATTCAAGGAAGGCACCACCTGGGCAGCCTCTGGATCTTAAAAGCCCTGGAACAGGCTGAATTAATCCCCGCGTCGCTTCCCTTTGAAGCACTTATTTAGCTCCCTGTCTGCATGCTGGAGAAAGACCCTGGGTAGCTCCTGCTCCTTTAACTTCTGTGAAGTTCTCAGCCTGTGTCTCAGCACACAGTAGGTGTTCAGGAAATGCAGAGTCCCTTCCTTAAAATCTAATCTCGACCTCTTCCTTGATACATCCTTCTGGGGGTCATCAAGCCCATTTCTTTCCTCCTTCCAACTCTGGATCCCCCAGACACCCCTACCCCGGCTTGGACAGAGAAGCCTATTTTAACGTTTGGTGTTGAGGTCATGCTCGGCAGGGCTAAGACTTCTAACTGCTGCTGAGCACAGCTGGGCTGACAGGTGTTGGGGGTGGTGACAGCTCTTCCTGCTGTCAGTTCCCCTGCCCCCACTCCTGCCCCGTCCAGGAAGTCTTCCTGGGCTGATTTGAGGAGGCTGGATATGACACTCCTGCTCTCCACCACTACCCAGACCTGGAAACCATCCAAACACTTTACTGCTCATTCTTGAATGAGTCTCTTGAATATTCCTTTTCTACCTTCCTAACTGGTGAAAACCTATATTCTAGGGATTTAGCCCCACCCTGTCAGTAGAGAAAGGGCCAGGCACTGGCAGAGACCTTCCACATGCCCTGCACCACGCCCCAACATTCATCACTTCCCTGAATCTTCCCACACCACTAATCCCCATTGTACAGCTGAAGTAATTGAGGCTTGGGGAGCTCTGAGTCCTCCATCAATCCTGACCAAGGCTGCGCATCCCAGTATTCTTCATATATCCCCCGGCAGGAGCACCAAGGGCAGGGAGAAGGGACGCTCAGGTGGAGTTCTACTTGATGCAGACGTGGGGCAGCCCAGAGCCTCCCCAGCCACACCTGCCTCCCCGCACAGAACACACCAGGAAGAACCCCGGGAAGACCTTGCACAGAATATCTATGCTGGGCCTATTACATGCTCATAACAGTCCTACCGCATCAGTATTGGCACTGGCTCTCGTAAGACAAGAAATGGAGACTTACAGAGAGTAGGCACATGCCCAAGGTCACACAAAGGCCAGAGCCAGGGTCTGAACCCAGGCCTGACTCCAAAGCCATGTACCAGGTTGCCTCAGCTGCATCCCACACACGCTGCCCCAGGATTTGTTAGAATTTGGGCCAAGGCCTGGGCTATGCCCACCTGTCCCCATCACTGCATGCACATGCACACACACACACACACACAGCCGTCTCTCTTTTCTCACCCTCCTTTACCCTTAGTCTGCACTCCCAGGGTCCCAGTGCAGCAAAGTGTCCCCCTAAGGATACCTCCCTGACACCTTTGGGCAGTGCCCAGAGTAAAGTCAGCCTATGGCTTGGGCTGAACCTGCAGAACACAGGTAGCAGAGGACAAGCCCAGGAGGATCAGGATCAAGGTGAGGCTGAGCACAGGTCTTGGAGTCAGACCGGCCTGGGTTTGCATCTAGGCCTTCCCCTTCTTAGCTGGGAAATCAGTTGACCTCGAGTCACCTATAAAATGGGCATCATTATCTCCACCTATGCTGAGGATTCAGCGAGATAGTGCAGCAAAGCGCTTTGCCCACAGGGAGTGCTCCCATCGGGGGGCTACTAGCACTGACGTATGGGGAGCACCAGTGGGAAAAGGGGAAAGTTCAAGGGTGAGCTGAAAAGAGACTGCGGTGGGAGGAGGAGAGCAAAGGCTATGGCCACAGCCAGAGACCGGCTTGGCTCTATCCTGGACACTCTTAGGTAGCCCCTTTGGCTGGATCTTCAAGGCCCGGTCAGGACTCAAGCCCACCCTGCCAACCCCTATGGAGAAGAGTACAGCTCCTTACTCAGGCAGCTGCAGAAGTGCAGAGGGTCAGAGATCCCCAGGCACAACCCCCTTACGGGCACCAAGGTGAGGAAACTGGGACTTGGGGAAGAGGAAGTGACTTGCCCAAGGTCACACAGAGTGGAGCCTGGTCTCTCCTAAGCCCTAAGTTAGATGGTGGGGGTAGGAGCAAATGTAAGGGGTCGAATCTTGCTTTCAGATCCCAGCTCTACCACTTGGTAGCTGGGCAGCCTGGGATTCACTGTCTGCCGCTCTGAGCCTACATCTCCTCACCTGACCGGGCTTGTAGAGTTGTGTGTTAAAATTTTTGTGTTCTTTCTGCCTCACAAGAGGAAATTTGGAAAATGCAGACAAATTTTCTGTTCACGCCTGTAATCCCAGCACTTTGGAAGGCTAAGGCAGGCGGATCACCTGAGGTCAGGAGTTCGAGACTAGTCCGGCCAACATGGTGAAACCCCATCTCTACTAAAAATACAAAAAATAACCCCGCATGGTGGCAGGCGCCCGTAATCCCAACTACTTAGGAGGCTGAGGCAGGAGAATCACTTGAACCTGGGAGGCAGAGTCTGCAGTGAGCCGAGATGATACTACTACACTCCAGCCTGGGCAGAGCTTCCTGCAGGGATGACAGAGAATGATGCCATGCGCCTGACCAGAGGAGGCATACGATAAAGGAGCATTTCCTCAGAGGACTTGGAAAGAGCTTTCCTCAGAGGACTTGGAAAGAGCTCTGGACAGGGAGCCAGGAGATCTGGGTTCTGGCCTTCATTCTGCCACTGAACTTGGTTGCCATCTTTGGACAGTGCCTGAGGTCGCTTTAAACAGAAGCTCCCCAACAAATCCTGCTCACCTTGCACTTTGCAGCCTGGCCACAAAGCAAGTGGCCACACCCAGGGTTGGGTTTGGAGCTGCTCCAGGTCACACCCTTGTAAAATGAGTAAGCAGAGGGCAGGCCTGCCCACGGGGCTGGGCCCCGGGCATCTGGGGATGACAGGAGTGGGAACTCTGGGCCTGGCAGGCATTTAGGGTGGTCTGCTGCAAGGAGACTCTCCTGCTTCTTTGCTTGTGACCCAGGCAAGTGACTTCCTTTCTTTGCTCAGTTTCCTTATCTGCAAGATGCCTCATTCTGAACATCTTGACCAAGATAATGAACGTGAAGAGTGCCAAGCAGTGTCTGGCACACGAGAGGCACTCAGTAAAAAAGAGACCTTCTTGCTAAGATCACTGAGCCCCTCTGGGAGGGAGGTACAGACAAGATGCACTTGGGCTCCTCTGGGAGGGTTCAAAGCAGTGGAAAACCACAGCTGTTACTGAAAATTCCAGTGTGAAAGCAGCTGGCCAGAGGAGAGTGGGCCTGCTGCAAAGTTCCCTTCCCCGGGGGGTACTCAGCTCCTAAGTCAGGCAGTAATAAAGAAAGTCAAGGCTACATAGAGAAGAGCCTACTGCCTGACCAGGTGCAGTAGCTCATGCCTGTAATCCCAGCACTTTGGGAGGCCGAGGCAAGAGGATCGCTTGAGCCCAAGAGTTTGAGACCAGCCTGGGGAACATAGGGAGACCCCTGTCTCTGCAAAAAATAAAACAGAGAAGAGCCTACTGCCTTGTGAGTCCCATCACTCTATCCCATCCCCATCTCTGACCTTAGGTCACATCCCCTCTCTGAGCCTGTTTTCCCCCTGTAACATGGAGCTACTAATGCCATCTATTTCACAAACTACAAAGATGTTTTGGGCTATAAAACGCTGACCACAAGATCACCAATCCCAGTTATCCTCGGTTGCTTAACCTGTAATATGGGGACAATACCATTCCTGCCCACTGCCCTCCTAGTTAGAAATCATGTGCAGGAAGGGTCTCCGGGAAGGTTAACGTTTTGAACATGGGCAAAGCCTGAGTCCACTGGCAGGGAGTAGTGGCTCTGCCTGCATCCAGAGCTGGCTGGGCATCCGTGCCTGCTGACTAGCACAGGTCTGACCAGATGCCTCTGGGGCAGTGGGGGGTGGTCTTATCCCTGTACCTGAACTTATTCACCACACCCACAACTAAGCAAACCTATAACACCCCAATCCTCTCCCTGGAGCCGGCTTCCAAAACCCAGGACCTGGAGTCGAATGTGGCAGAGAAGAGCTAGCCCCACAGCCACCCTGTGCACACACGCATTGTCAAGGAGAGGACACTGAGGCCCAGACTGGGGCCAAGACTTGTCCAAGGACACACAGAAAATTAATGGCAGTCACACCAGAAACCAGGCTCCTCAACCACCACCACCCCCACTTCCCCGGGCGTTTCCCATTCCACCCCCCACCCTAAAGTTGTTTTGATTCACATGGGCTCCAGGAATTCCACTCCCACAAAACACACCCTGAGCCCAGGTCGGCAGGCAGCCTGGTGCCACTACACTTTGGGCCATCTCTGGCAACGAGCCTGGGAGCTTAAGGAGAGAGCAGCCAATCTGAACAGAACCCAGGGGGCTGCCCACATTTCTATCTGCTACAGGCTGCCTGGGAGGGAAGATTGGGCCTTGGGGAGGACCAAGGGCAGATACTTGGGGCTATACCAGGAGTTGGCTGGACAATTTGGAGTCTGTCCATGGCAGATTGAACCTGAGAGACTCACTAGACCTATCCCTCTGTCTTACCAAAGTCCCACAGTGTCCCCAGGCATGCTCTTTGCCTGGACAATAGCAGGCACCCAGTGCTGGTTTCTGGCCAAACAATGAAGTAATGAATGAATGGCGGCAACTTTGGCTGCATGGGCTTCCCCAAGGTCACACAGTGCACTGGGAGTAGTGGGTTGGGTCTCCCTCCAGACTCGCAATCCAGTGCTCATTCCACTCCACTAGAATGGATGAGATTACTTCATCCAAAGTCTGAAAATGAAGGGGTCTTCTACTCAGATATTGGGGGCACTGGGTCCTGGAAACTGAAAGCTCATCTTCCCTCTTCCCAAAACTCTACCTGCTCCACTCAAACTGGATCTCAGGCACCCCTCCCTCCTTTCCCACACCTGGAAAAGCATAGGGGGAAGCGGTGGGGGCCCCAGCATTACCGGCAGCCGGCCTGCCGGCAGGCATCGAACAACTTGGCCCTCGGGTCCGTGGGGAGTGGCATCGAGGCAGGTGCCGGGCGCCACTGCGGGAGGCGCCGTCTGCGGGTACAGCGGCGTGTAGTAGGTGGTAGTAGCTGGGCAGAGCTGGGGGCTGCTGAGGCCGGATGGCCACAGCTCTGTGGGGCTCATCGCGGGCACCACCTTCGGGGGCTGCCCAGCGGCCGAAACCAAGGCCCGGGGCCCTTGCAGCATAGCGAGTAAGGCGCCCCCTACCCAAACGGGCCTGGCGCGCCCGCCGACACCTGCGGGTTCCGGTGCTGCAGCCGCTCACACGGCCCGCGGCATGGCGCGGAGGCCGGGGGAAGCCACCAATGGACGTCTGCGGGGCAAGGCCGGACCCTCCCCTCCTGGCCCGCAGCCGAGCAGAGCAGCGCTTGGAGATCGCCACTTGGAGATCGACCGGCGGTTGCGGTGGTGGCACTGCCAGGGGCTGTCCCGCCCCGAGGGCACCGCGACCCGGGACGCCCCGCGCCCCCCAAGGCCTCGGCACCTGGGGTCCGGCCGGCTCTGGGGAGGAGTCCCCGGCGTGCCCGCGAGCTCCGTGGAGACGCGATGCGCTGGGACGGGGAAGGGGGTCTCGACTGCACCGACTTCCTTGCGGCCCGCTCTCTAGTCCCTGAGTCTTTCTCTGCCTCTTTTTTTTTCTTTTTTCTTTTTTTTTTTTTTTTTTTTAAGCGCCAAACGGCGTGCCGCGAAATTCGGATCTCCCGCGGAAAATGCCGCGCTCCCGTTGGCTGCTGCAAGAGTACAGGCTCCACCCCCCGGAAAGAACCAGTCCTCGAGGCGGCGATTGCAACACGAGCTTCGCTGCTTAAAGGGGCAGCCACACCTGCTGTCGGTGCCGCCCGCCGCTGGACGCACTAGCTAGCAGCCGGCGAGACGGAGACAGGGTGGTTCTGGGATGCACAGTGCAGAGGCGGCCAGAACAGAGCACAGCGCCCCGAGAAATGGGCCCGGATTCCCTGGGGTTGAAGGGAAACATTTTGGCGCCGGGTCCCGACCTGAGCCCAGACTCAGCAGTGTATTCCCCAGGCCACAGGCCCTTTTGTTAGTTTGCATTGTTGCTTAGCTAGCACATGTGCATTCATATCCCCTTTCCTGCTAAAATGAAGGCCAGGAACTTGTTCCCTTTAATGGCAGAGGGGTGAGGGATGGAGGCAAACTAGTCTACTTCTTTATAGGGAAAACTAACATCTATTCAGCGCCTGCAGGATGCCAAGCACCATGCTAGATCCTTACAAGGGTTGTTTTAATTTATTCCAACAATCCTGGGAAGAGGAATGATGATCCCCATGATAAAGACTGACAGTCTGAAAGGCTGGGTAACTTGCCCAAGGTCATACAGAGAGATTCCCTGATTTGAGAGCTGGCAATGGAATCTGGGACAGGTCCCAGCTCTGGAGCCCTTGTTTTTCCAGTTAAGGGGTTCTTCTACCCTCCCAAGCTGCCTGCCGGCACAGCAGGGTCAGAGGCCCACTGCAGAGCTTTGTCTTATTCACAGTTGTATTCTTAGGACCCAACACTCAGTAAATGTTTGAACATCTCCAGGTTTCTTTTAAACAATCCTTTTGTCACAAGAGCCTCCCTGCCTCATTCAAAAATCTTCATTGCTGATAATATATTCCTCACCACTCCAGTTTAGAGAGACTCAGAGAAGCAACCTTTGGTAGTGAGTGGTAAAGCTGCTAGAAGCTGCTGCTACATTCCAGGTCTGATTCTTGCCTGGTGCTGTGTGATTTTTATGCAAGTCTGAGCCTTGGCATTCAAAACCCTCCAGAGACAGTCCACAGCTTATTTCCTCATTAGATGGTTGAGGACAAGGTGGCAATAACCCATGATGATTAAGAGCCCAGGCTGTGTGGCCAACAGCCCTGAGTTCAAACCCAGGCCCAGACACTTTATTCGTTGTGTGACCTAGGCAAATTTTGTAAATTCTCTGATCCTTGATCCTTGATTTTCTCATCCTAATAGCACTTACCTCATAGGATCATGAGGAAATCTCCTGAGATAATGCATATAAAGCTTTCAGCACAGAACCTGGATCATAAGGAGGCTCAAGAATTGGCAGATGTTGTTATATCTCTGACTTTTTTTTTTTTTTTTTAAGACAGAGTCTCACTCTGTCACCAGGTTGGAATGCAGCGGTGCAATTCTCCTGCCTCAGGTTCAAGTGAGTCTCCTGCCTCAGCCTCCCAAGTAGCTGGGATTACAGGCACCAGCCACCATGCCTAGCTGATTTTTGTATTTTCAGTAGAGACGGGGTTTCACCATGTTGGCCAAGCTGATCTCGAACTCCTGACCTCAGGCGATCCACCCTACTCGGCCTCCCAAAGTGCTGGGATTACAGGTGTGAGTCACCACGCCCGGTCACATCTCTGAACTTATCTCCAGTGCATAAGACCCTTTTACTCTAGTCTACGTATCTCATTGGTCCTTTGCGGCCCAGCTTAAACTTCACCTCCTTCAAGAAGCCTCCCCTGACTGCTTCCTCTCAGTCAAATGATTCTTGCCCTCTTGGGACCCTTTGTGTGTTCTACCTCAACAAAACGAGGCTTTGTTTTCATACCTTGTTTATCAGTTAGGTTCTATGCTCCTTCAAGAATCTAGGTCAGATCTCTCTAGAATGCCCTTTAGCATCTAGGGCCTGGCTGGAGTGCAGAAGGCAGGTAATAAATACTGATTATGATTCACTCATCTGCCTGGCTGCAAAGAATAAGAGAAGTTAATGAGATCTGAAGTCAGAAAATCAGGAAGCCCAGATTAAGTCCCGCTCTCTACTTCCTAGCTAAGTGACACTGGACAGCTGCTGCTTCACTTCTCTTAACCACAATTTCCCCAACCATCAAATGTGGATAATGCTATCAGTCAGTCAGTTTCAGAGGACTTCAGAGACACTACTTAAATGACAGTGGTGGTGAGGTCACTGATTTTTATTGAGAACCTACTATAAGCTGGGTTCTAAGCACCTTGAGCCCCTCCTCTGATCCTCACAACACTACCCTGAGGCAGACACTATTATTATCCCCATTTTACAGATGAGGGAACCTGGAAGGAATTGTGGTGGAGCAGGTTTGGGGAAGGAGCAGTGCCCCAGGGCCAGGGAGGGAAATGGGGGTGGCAGGGTGGAGCTGGGAGAAAAGAAGGGAGCCAGTGAGGGGCTGGAAGCCAGTGAGGGGCTGACAGCCAGCTCTCTGTGGTTGAGTTTCGGGCAGCTGGGGCTGGCTTTAGAGTTTCACTGCCTGGGAACTGACTAATTCTCGCAAGAGGTGTGGGGCACAGATCTGAAATCTGCCTCCCTGAGCTTGAATTCCTGCCCCATTCATTCCTAGCATTGTGATCGTGGTCAGGTCGGTGGACCATTCTGAGCCTCAATTTCCTCATCTTTGAAATGGGGGTGCACAAGTGACCTCTCCACTTACTGTGAGGATTTAGTAAGGTGTTGGTTATAAAGTCCTTAGAGAAATGTCAGATGCATGGTAGGTACTTAATATATTTTGGCTAAGATTTCTGTGAAATGGACCAAAAGAGGCCCTCACATGGAACCAGACTAAATACTTGCAGTTTCAGGCCGGGCACAGTGGTTCAGGCCTGTAAACCCAGCACTTTGGGAGGCCAAGGTGGACAGATCTCTTGAGCCCAGGAGTTCGAGACCAGCCTGGGCAACATGGTAAAGCTCTGTCTCTCCAAAATATAGAAAAATTAGCTGGGAGTGGTGGCACACACCTGTAATCCCAGCTGCTCAGGAGGCTGAGGTGGGAGGATCACCTGAACCCAGGGAGGTCAAGGCTGCAGTGAGTCATGATCATATCACTGCATTCCAGCCTGGGCAACACAGTAAGACTGTCTCAAAATAAATGAACAGGCCGGGCGCGGTGGCTTATGCCTGTAATCCCAGCACTTTGGGAGGCCAAGGTGGGTGGATCACTTGAGGCCAGGAGCTCGAGATCAGCCTGGTCAACATGGCAAAAATCCGTCTCTACTAAAAAAAAAAAAAAAAAAAAAAAAAAAAAAATTAGCCAGGCATGGTGGTGCATGCTTGTAATCCCAGCTACTTGGGAGGCTGAGGCAGAAGAATCGCTGGAACCCAGGAGGCAGAGGTTACACTGAGCCAAGATCATGCCACTGTACTCCAGCCTGGGTCACAGAGCAAGACCCTGTCTCAAAAAAATAAAACCTCAGAGTTTCTGTCATACATGCCCTACACTTTCCCATCTCCCAGGCTTTGCTTACCTGGCTCCATATCCTCCTATTCTCCAGGCCCCTCCTCTCCTCCATCCCCATGTGCCCAAATCTGACTCATCCTTCAAGGTCCAACTCAAATGGAGTAGAAGGGGTAAAGAATCTGAAGTCAGACACCCCTGGGTTCAAACCCAGGCCCTGACACTATTAGCTGTGTGACCCACGCAAATTTCCTAAAAGATTCTCTGATCTTTGATCTTTGATTTTCTAATCCTAATAGCACTTACCTCATAGGATTGTGAGGAAATCTCATGAGATAATGCATATAAAGCTTTCAGCACAGAACCTGGTTCATAAAGAGCCTCAAGAATTGGCAGTTGCCGGGCGTGGTGGCTCACGCCTGTAATCCCAGCACTTTGGGAGGCCAAGACGGGCGGATCAAGAGGTCAGGAGATCGAGACCATCCTGGCTAACACGGTGAAATCCTGTCTCTACTAAAAAATATGAAAAACTAGCCGGGCAAGGTGGCAGGCGCCTATAGCCCCAGCTACTCGGGAGGCTGAGGCAGGAGAATGGTGTAAACCCGGGAGGCGGAGCTTGCAGTGAGCCCAGATCACGCCACTGCACTCCAGTCTGGGCGACAGAGCCAGACTCCGTCTCAAAATAATAATAATAATAATAAAAAAGAATTGGCAGTTGTTCTTATGTCTCTGATCCGACCTCCAGTGCGTAAGACCCTTTTACTCTAGTCTACCTATCAACAAAGCTTCAAACTCCTTGGGGGCAGGACCCAGGCTTTGTTTTCACTTTTGTGCCTTCCTCCCCTGAGATGCCAGGCACAAAGTAGGCCTGAAATAAATGATAATAGCTCACATTTCCTGAGAACTTCCTAGGCATAAACACCCAGCTAGGTATTTTACATACATTATTTTCTTGAAACCTCCCAACTACCCTGTAACACAGGTACATTTTGGACAGATGAGGAAAATGAGACTGAAATATGTAAAGGAACTTGACAACCGTTTAAACATGAAATCGGCCAGGTGTGGTGGCTCAAGCCTGTAATCCCAGCACTTTGGGAGGCCGAGGCAGGCAGATCACGAGGTCAGGAGATCGAGACCATCCTGGCTAACACGGTGAAACCCCGTCTCTACTAAAAATACACAAAAAATTGGCCGGGCGCGGTGGCGGGCGCCTGTAGTCCCAGGTACTTGGGGGGCTGAGGCAGGAGAATGGTGTGAACCCGGGAGGCGGAGCTTGCAGTGAGCCAAGATCGCGCCACTGTATTCCAGCCTGGGCAACAGAGTGAGACCCCGTCTCAAAAAAAAAAAAAAGATGAAATCGGGACCTGAACTCAGATCTCTGTCTCCCAAGGCACTGCACTGTTGTGAACAATGAACTCAGCCCCAAAACCCCATGTGAAGGAGGGTACATTCT